TTGGAGCAGCTTGAAACTGTGTTACTCATCCAAGTGTAATTTAAAACGACGACTGTTTATTTCTGGATTTCTCCATTTAATATGTGTAGCCCCCTTCGAACCTGTGGAAATCCGAACTTCAGATGAGAGAAGATTGCTGGGAGCCATTTGTGTCTGTTGTCATGGCTATGATATAAGGACCATGTTTCATAGTAACAACTGAGCTCTTGTAGCTTTAATAAGACCTTCCCAGCTGACCTCTGAACTTAAATATCTTCATACGAATAGTTAAGTTGGGACCTTTAGTCTGAGGCACTTAGAAGCTAAGGCAGGAGAATCTCAGATGTTTAGGTCAGCCTGACCAACTTAGCAAGAGCCTGTCATAAAATAAAAAGTAAAAAATGGCTAGGGCTCATCAGTGGGTTGTTTACCGAGGATGAAGTGTGCGGATTCAAAGTACATACACACCAGAGTATAAATATGAAGTTATTTTTGCCGATAGCATTGTAGGCATGAGTGAGTTGTGTGTTTGTGTCCTGATAGACTTCTGCTCACGTGTTCAGAGAGAATGTCTACACTGCTGCGTTCATCTTCTGTGTTGAAGTGCTGTCTTGCCATCTTGGCATAGTTTTTCTTGCTATGGTGGTTTATACCTGGTACTCTGTGGAGGGGGCACCACGTGGACCTGTCACATTCTGTGGAACAGTCTTCTAGCCACCCTAAGGTCTCAGGAAGGGGGCACCACTTAGACCCACCCTGTGGTGAATGGAACCTTCACCTGCACTTCACTTAAATAGTTACCACCTAGAGGTGGCATTTCATGTCTGAGGGAAAATAGAAATGCCAGTCTGTTTGGAACTTTGAGTAACCTGGGGATATCATCTTCAAAATGTTAATGTTGGAGCCAGACAGTGGTGGCACATGCCTTTAATCCCAGCACTTGGAAGGCAGAGGCAGGTGGATTTCTGTGAGTTCGATGCCAGCCTGGTCTACAGAGCTAGTTCCAGTACAGCCAGGGCTACACAGAGAAACCCTGTCTTGGAAAAACAAAGTTGATGTTGTAGCAGTAGCGGCACTAAATACCAGGTTAATAGTGTTTTGTGTGCATGTGTGGGAGGGAGGGAAGGAGACAGCGAGAGACAGAGACAGGGACTCATCTTGAGTCTTGCTGGCTTTGTACTTCTACATAGCTCAGACTGGCCTAGAATTCATTGCCTTCCTGCCTCGGCCTCCCTCGGGGTCAGGTTTGAAGTTCTCTTGCACATTTCCCTGTGTCCTGGGTTCATGATTTGCCCTTGGGCTTGCAGGAATCTCCTGGGGTTCTTCTGCATACTTGACAAGGCCCTCAGCTTCACCTCTCCAGCAAGAGTCCGGTGAGCTGAGTGACACTTTCCCTCTCCCCCATGTCAGGTTATCTACTTGGACTGAAGATTAGCTAGAAGAGAATGGTTGTTTCTATAGCCTCCCTTTCTTTTTGCCTTGCTGGCTGTCACTGTCACTGGTTTTGGCTGTCAGTAATTTTCTGATTTGAAGGCTGCTTCTTAGGTTTGTCATATCTTCCCTAAAGAGTATCCAAAATGCAGAGAGCTTGGAAGGGAATTTCTTAGTGGCCCACACAGTGGAGTATGTACACTTACCCTCCAAGGCCAGCCCCACCTCAGGCCCATGTCTTATGCCCCAGAACCTTCCAATACCCAAGGCCTCCTGCTCTGTCACTTCTGTAGGATGTTCCTGTGATATCTTCCCTGAGTGAAACACAGGGACTGCTCCTCACAGAGGGGAGGTGTCTGGGCTTGGCATGCCCTTCCAGGATCACTGAGGCCTGATCAAGGCCCCTGCTGTATGATCTCTCCCCCAGCAGTGAGAAGGGTCAAGATCCATCACCTGAGAAACATGTCCTGCCTCTGCATGCACTGTGGAGGAGGAATATCACAGACCTGAGTAGGGCCTTGGCTGCTGGGTTGACTCACAGAGCTCACACTTACAGAGCTGTGGGCACAGGGCCGTTGATAATTCACATAAGCTGAGGCAGGAATTCATAGATCCACAGAATACACCATCCAAGGGATGCAATTGCCTGGAGCCCCTGAAGATAAGGGCTACCCTGCTCCCATAGCAGGTGACAGGTGACAATGGTGCTATGAATGGGACTATTCTGTGATGGGTTGAGATTGGCCTGTGGTACTTTAGAGCTCATGGCCTATGAGAGATCCTGGAACTTCTGCACCATGGTAGTGGGGGAACCTAGAAGAAAGAGCTGTTCCTCCATCTCTCTCTCTGTACCCTCTGGAAAAGCTGTTCTGCAGCTCAGGCCAGGGAGTCAGAAGCGCTGCTCTGCCCTGTAAAAATGCTGGGTATTGATGTGTGGTTAGAGCCACTTACTCTTAGCTCAGCACGGAGTGTGTGGGTTAATGCTGCGGTTCAGAAGCCTTGATGATGGTTTCACTGCTGTAGCACCCTATAAAGTACTTAGCCTTTGGACTGGTGGTGGAATTCAGACTTTGCTCCTTAAGAGATGTGCCCTGCACAGGACCAGAGAGCATTGGTGTCTTACTAGCTTTGTTCTTGTCTGGTGTGTTTGATCATATTCAGTGAACTCATGTATATACACATCTTCTCACGGGGCAGTGTAGGTATGATACAGCTACAAGTTTCTGCCTATCCCTTGCTAGGATGTGCTCTGTTTCTGACTCCTGGGACTCTTGCCCACTGGCCTCAGGTATCTAGGGCATGTATGTGGCTTTAGCCTCAGGGTCAACTCCTTCCCCCAAAATGCTTTTCAATGACTAGTATCTAACACTTGGTGTTTACATAAGGGCTTGCTCATGGTGTAGATGTGGCTGGCTGCTGTGGGGTCTCCCAAAAAACAGAAAAAGCACCAGCAATGAGTCCTGGGGTTGATTTTGCTCCAAATCCAGGAAGACGTATAAACTTAACAAGCATGGCTAACCCCTCCAGCCTGGGCAGACTTGACGGCCTGCGGGGTGGGCCAGCACACAGTCTTGGACAGTGTTCAGCTGAGAGGTGAGGGCACCCCTCCCTGAAAAAGAACCCAGAAAATGGCAAAGTCCAAATCCCTAAGGCTTCAGGTTTTCGTATGAGAAATGGGAAAACTGACGGGGGTTTTCTAGTGTTTGTGGAGTTGCTAAGTAAGAATGCTGGCAGGCCAGAAGTGGGAGGAGACTTCTTGCCATTCTGTTCTGTGTGTAAATGCTGCTGCCCTCGGCGTGATGCACACTTGAAGTCACACAGGAGGGCTCTGAGAAGGCCGGCCTTTAGAAAATGTTAGCTGTGAGGAGGCAGGTGGACAGGAAGCACTGCAGGCGGCAGCTGGCCCACAGCTGGTCATGGCCCTCTTAGCCCATCCGTATTAATTACAGCTGTGACATCCTGTCACAGCTCCAGTGCCCCAATGTTAGCTCCTCTGAGGGAGGAACATCCACTGGACCTTCCTGAAAAGTGCCTTTACCGTCCACTTTGTCTCTAGGAAGTTTTCCTCTTTGGGTATATTTCTCTTGAATTTGTTCATTTTTCCTATCAAGGCTACTTAAATCCCATTGGCTGCAGGCGCCAACCTAATAATGCCAATGGAAGCAAGCACTGGGTGGTAAGCAAAGCTCCCGAGGTCTCTTGCTGGCTTGTCTTACAATGAGGACCAGCTCCCTGGCAACCCTGGTCAGAGATGGGTGGAATGTGCAGCCCCAGATGGGGAGGGGCAAGCTAGTGAGTCAGCCGGCCTAGCTTGATGGAGGTTTGTGTTTTGTGGTGTCTGCACTGGAGGGTCTGGGCTTGGTGAACATAATACCCCCCCAAAACTTGGTTCAGGCTCCCTGTGTTTTGTAGATGCTGCTTCAAGCAAGTGACTTGAGGCCTCACGGTTTGTGATCTCATGGGGAGGCATGGTGTTTGTTTTGTGGGTCTCTGACTCAATTCCTGAAAGGTGCTTTGGGGACAGTTGGTGCTAGCCACAAGTGGATCAGACCTGGACTCTGTCCCTGATTCGTGTAAACTTAAAGTAGCACCCTCACCCTGAGCTGAGGAGCCCAGGACACAACACGAGCCTTCCGCAGCAGTGTGTAACTTTCCATGCTCTGTTGGTATCTACATAGGCACTTGGAATGGTAAACCGGCATCTCATGCCTAAGTTTTTGTTTTTTTGTTTTTTTTTGCTGTAGTGATTCCTTTGGCGTGGGTACACCACTTAGGATTCTAACACAGTGGGTTTGATGGTGGCCTGACAGTTGGAGACAGACCTCTGCCTAGAGGGCATTCCTAAAGTCTAGACCAACAAGGGGCAAAGAGTGCAATCATGGTTCCTGGATGTGTCTTGATGGTTTTCCACTTGTGCTACCTTGACAGGCTCACTGAAAATTTATGTTACATTGCCTCACATCAGAGGTCTCCACAGCCTCTCAGTTCCATATTATGACTCCTTTTGTATTTCCTTTTTAACATTTCAATGTTTTAAAGCCCAACTTGCCCTATAACAGTTCCCTTTATTCACACCAGCAGGGATGATGGTGTATGGGGTATAAAGTTAGACTTCCGGGGAACCTTGGTCTCTGCATATTCCTTCCTGCCTAGTAAGTTACTTAATACATCTACAGTGATATTGATTGTAAGATCCTAATTTCATAAATGAAGTTGTATAAACTGATTTTTCCAAAATCAATAAAACACGTTGTTTCTTCTCCAAAGCTCGTCTTTGTGGAGGTTGGGGCTGGACACCCCTGTAAATAGCCTTAGGACCCTCAGTGCCAGGCTACCTGGCATCAAGACCCAATTCCTTCCTGGGTTGTAATCTTCCTTGGGCCATAACTAAGCTGCTTTAACACAACCTCCCACACGTAAAACATGATATTGGCTAGCACATTACAGTATGTGGCTTCCTAGAACATGTTTGAGCAGGTAGTATATATCGTGTGTAGATATGGAAGGGTCAGGGACATGCTTGGCCTTGGACATTTCCATCAAGGACATTAGATTATAATGGGGCTGGAAATGCCCTTGCCAGTTACGACATGGCCATGGTCACCTGTAAAACACATTCCTTCCATGTTGGGGGTGATAGTGTGAGCAACCACACGGTACAGTCCACTGTTGGCAAAGCACAGAATGCTGGTACAGTCATGTTTGGCACCTGTTATCTATTTACTGTTCTCAGTCCTTGTTTCTCAATGGGTTCATCCATAGCCTTAGGACAGTAATCTAGGCCATATATACACACCGTGTGGCCTAAGCATGCCATAGGCAATACTTTTAAGTGTGAAGCAGTCATTCTATGACATTAGCATGGTGACAAAGTCATCCCCTGGTGCTGGATCTTTCAAGCTGTGTTGCCATCAGTAAGCCATACAGTGACTTGTTGGGATAGGAAACAGATCTGTAGATTCATGGCATCAGTTCTGACATGTCTCTTTACCTTTCACCTATTCAGGGAGCAAGTCTCAGAGGTTGGAAAGAAGTAACTTCTCTGTTTAATAAAGATGACGAACAGCATCTGATCCAGACGTCCAAATCTCCCAAGTCCAAAGGGTGAGTCCTCAGCAGCCATCTTGAGAGAGTGACATTACCATGGAGGCAGAGAGAGTGCTGTGGTATTACTACAGGGGCTCTCACAGGCCACCATCGCCTCTGGAGAGGCCTCTGTTGCCCTAGGCTACAGGTCCAGGGGAGCTGTGAGATGTGAATGCTAGGGTTTTTCTACACTATGAACACAAAGAGATGAAGTGCACTTTGTGGATGCCCTGGGGACAAGTGAAGTGGACTTTGGGTCGAGGTTATGTAACCAATGAAACATTTTGAAATGCTAAAGCAAAGGAAAAAAACTAAAACTTGTAAGATGAACTCACTAGCCATAAGCTAGCCTGCAGCCATACTCATGAGTTTTCAGAATGTAAAGGGAAGCACTGTGGTATGTACAACACTGGGACTAAGGTGTGCTGTGGTGGTACAGCCCTCCCTCGGCATGCACACAGGCCTGCTTTGATCCCAGCACCGTCAAAACTAAACAAAACCACAAGTACTGATTGGAACCCACAAAATGGTCTAGGAAGTTAAGCAAGTATAAACTGATGTGTTGTTGCTACCTTATTATAAATTCATCAGAATGTTAAAAGTACATGTAGAGGTAAATGTAACTTTAAAAAATGTAACAGAACTTCCTGTTGATAGTAAGATGGTGACCTTGGAAACCTGTAGCTGTGTTTCCTTACGCAGGGCTCCTTTAGTGCCAGAGCAGCAGTTTCACAAAAGGTCTTCTTGCTCACTGGGTGATGTGCTGGTGGGTCTAGAACACCTGTGTCCCAGTGTCTGGAGAAGTGTCCTGAGTGATGCTGGCATGTAGTCGGGACACTAATGTATTCATTGTAGCCATGATTTCCTTTTCATCATAGATGTCTTGAGTAATTATTTTCTTGAGTAAATCACATACTAAATGTGTGAGACTGGTTTCCTCTATGAATAACCCTACTGAAAACCCTCTTAGTAAACAGAATTTCCCCTTTATTTATAACCAAAACTGGTCCTTGGTTTTTTATGTCTGGTTTGTTTGTATACTCCCTCCTACCACCTTTGAGAGTTGGTTGCTTGTGACAGCAGCTTCCGTTCTTCCGTCTGGGGACTGACTGGTCCTTTGTTCACACTGCATGGGAAGCCAAAGTGTGGCATCTATAAGCTTATACTGGTGAAGTTTCCCATCGTTTTTTAATGTTTACCCCAAACTTATGCACAGGTTTCTATTAGTTTTCTAATTCCTTTAGGTTTTTAGAAAGGACTTTACTAAAGTGACACATTTATGAGATCACTGACCAAAACTAAACTTTTCACCTACAGAAGTAACCTCCGACTAAAAGAAGAGTTGAAGGCAGAGAAGAAATCAGGATTTTGGGACACTTTGGTTCTGAAACAGAATGTCCAGCCTAAAAAACCAGACCAGATCGAAGGTTGGGACCCTCCCATACTTACTGCTGAAGATGTGGTAGCTGACACCGAGGATGGTAGCAGTGGCTGCCCACCCTGGTCTGGCTGGGAGGATGATACCAAGGGTTCTAGCAAGTACACCAGCCTGGCCAACTCAGCTAGCAGCTCCCGCTGGAGCCTCCGGTCAGCAGGGAAGCTGGTCAGCATCCGGCGACAGAGCAAGGGTCACCTAACAGATACCTGTGAGGAGGTAGAATGAACCGAAGGAGCTTCACTGTGACATCACATTGCTTTTAGGGTTGGCCAAGCCTGGGGGCCTTCCGCTACTGCACCATTAATTTGTTGAGCCCTCTCATAGTCAAGGAAAGGGATCTGCTGAGTTGCTTGTGTTTTGTGTTCCATGACCCACACGCGCCATGGCTTCCTGATGGCATCTGGTTGCCTTATTGCAAAAACATCCACCCACCGGGTGCTTGTATGCTGAAAGGACATGTGCATTGCAGACCTTGTCCTGTGAGATAGAATAGTGACTTGCAGGCTCCCCTGAGTTTCATGCCAGCCTCAGTCACATGTTCTCTTAGAACCTCCATATCTTGTCTCTGCATGTGACATGAGTGTGAACATGGCTCTGTGGTACCTTCTTCCTTTGTCAGAATACAAGAAGCCTCTTCCAAAGTTACAGTAATTTCAGTTTAGCAATGGGTCCATTTTTCCCTTATGAAGATAAAACAAAATCTAGATGCTGGAAGCGACTGAGGTAGTTTGAAGTAGACTGTCAGGGCATTTTGAGTGGCCCGTCTGCTGCTGAGGAGGAGTGGCCTCCAGTGTGAGCTTGGGTGGCAACCGGTTCTCTTATGGAATTTCATTTTTATTTTTGAACTTTTAAATACGAATCTTTATTTTCTTTATTTTAAAAAAGTTGATTTTAAACTCAAAGAAGAAATACTATGAATGAATCTTAGTCACCCAAAAATCTTAGTTTTGCTCAGAAAACATCAGCCTGCTCATTGTAGAGTTAAAATTGTATATAAGATACTGAAGTGCCTCTTTTCTATTATTCTCAGATGTTTAGTTTTTCACAATGAGATACTTTTGTGATTGATGTTACATCTATAAGAAGTGTTATCTCCCCAACTAGCTCTGCCTGTCTCACACCATCCTCGCTTGTGGTTCTGTGTATTGGCAGGATGGGTATCTCTGTAGGGGATGTTCAGCAACAGGTGGCACACATGGTTTTGTTTTTCAGTCACAGTGCTTTGACAGAGGAGGTGTGTTTCTCTTTGTTTTGGTTAAAAACTTACAGCCTCCAGTCATGCTGTCCCTGAGTTTCTCAGTGTGAGCAATGTGCCGCTTCATGTAACTGGATGTCCCACTTAATGTTCTGAGGCCTGCTGCATATGTTGTGTCAGAGCGTCTGTGTCTTTAATGGAACAAGTTCACTAGATCTGTCGTCTACAGCTACGTGTCTGTCCACCCCACCTAGCCAGCCAGCCACCTGTCTCCATCCACCTGTCCACCCATCAACCAAGCTGTTAATCTTTCAAAAATAGAATACGTTTACTTAATGAGTTTTGAGAGGGCTTTACACGGTGTTCAAATAAAAAAAAAATGTTAGCATCTGGAAATTGTGAAATTATGGAGATTTTGATTCATAATACAAAGCGTATAATTTTTACTGTAACGTGAGTTAGAAAATCTTTAAGTCTTCTCAGGTAAACAGTTGAGTGCTTGGGCTCTGACTCTCTTGTCTTTAAAAGAGGTGACTGCAGGATAGGACAAAAGAGCAGGCTCATGCCGATGCCCATGGCAGGACCCACCGGTTTGTCTAAATAACTGCCTGTGGCACAGTCATACAAAGTCTCGAGAATGTGAGGAGTGAGCTCTTGGACACACAGCCTCTCTGCCTTCACTGGGCCTGTGTTGAGTGCTAAGTGCCTGTAGCTCACTGTGCCCGTGTGCCTGGATGCAGTGATGCGTGTTGTCACAGGGACCTTTACCCTGTCACCTCTCAGAAGGTGAAGATTCACTGTACACCAGACTTCTGTTTTTTTTTTTTTTAATATAGAAAGATGAACTAAAATGAACTTTTCTTCTGATGTATCGAATTAAAATATCTTGTGTTTGAGATTTTTGGTGTAAATATTTATTGGTATGCTTTCCGGAGAAAATGTCTTGAAAGACTTTAGGTGAAGTTGCTCTATTGAGATGCAGTTTGTGATGCAGCTGTGATTCTGGGGCTGGTAAAGGGAGAAGGCACAGCTTCCACAGTCTCTACCTTGCACTTTGTTCTGGTCTTTTGAACAGGGATGTGTGTGGCTTCAAGGAGGGGCAGATTCTTCCTTAAAGCTAAGGATTAAAGAAAAAACAGAAAGATGTGTCTGTTTCCTTGATGTGTCAGAGCTGACAGTTGTCTCCCTGACCTTGTAATCCTCCTTGTGAGATGTGGCAACCCACCACTTCTCAAGGAAACTAACAGTTGTGCTGAGATTGTCTTTTCATATTTAGCTAATTGTATTAGGCTTTTCTCAGAGAGTGATGGGCACACTGCGTGCCCTGGGCTGCTTCTGCGCTGCTGCCCTTAGTTAATGAGTTAAGTACACCCTTAAGCAACTTGTTGCCTTGGCCTTCATCCAAGAAACATGAACATACCAGACATGGTTTGCTTTTTTTCACTTACCCACTCTCTTTTTTTAAAACATGACCATCATCCAGGCAGTGGTGGCGCACACCTTTAATCCCAGCATTTGGAAGGTAGATGTAGGTGGATCTCTGTGAGTTCAAGGCCAACCTGACCTACACAGTGAGTTCTAGCACAGCCAGGGCTACACAGAGAAACCCTGTCTTGAAAAAATAATAATAATGTCCAAAAGGTCTGGAGACCATGAAAGCTCCTGGAAGCCTGTTCCCTTTCTGGCTATAGATGCTTTGGGGTGAGGTATTGAGCTTCACTCAATTTCTCTCAGCCCAGCACCTCTCCATTCACCACTTACCTGGTCCTAGCAGGACTCTGCAGCCCTGTTGTCAGGCGTGCACTCAAAGGATTTTCTAGGTGGCCCCAGGAGACTCCCAGCTGGCCTTGGTGACTTTACTCCTGGCTATCTGGCTGTCTCGGTCTTTCATCAACTGAGATTCGATTGCCTGAATCATCAGGAGACAATGTGGACAGGACGATTCTGATCAGTGTGTTCAAACATTGAAAAACAGTTCTCAGGTTTTGAGGAAGAACCCCAAGAATTCATTTTAATGTGAGGGTGTAAAGTGAATGCTCACACCTCATGTGTCTGGCCTTTTCCAGCAAGATAGGAGCCCCAACCCACCGCCCACCTACTGGAATTCATTCCTACCCAGGCTATTTCAGACTCAGCTCAAGGGTCAATTCCAGGGTTTCCGTTTATAACTAGGGAGTGGAGACCACTGTACATGCTCGTCAGGGGAAGCATGCTTCATTCATTTCAGGTGAATGGCTCCTGTATAGTGGTCCAGCAAGTGTCCTCCTTATTTCACTGATGAAGCTGCTGGCTCTTGTGTCTGGGATTTCTTGGAGTGCCCGGGAGTATGATGAGCCCCTTGCTCTCCCTGGCATGGCTCTTAAGATACAGTAACCATCGGGGAGACTCACTCAGAGCCAGGAAAAGGCATCATTCAGGTGGAACATTCTACTCTGTTACTGAGCAGGCTGAGAGGGGAGATGTAACATTGGTATCTAAAATAGGGAAACAATGTAAAACCTACTGGCTAGCAGCTGTGTCAGTGAGTACAGTGGAAGGAGCATCTACTGGTGCTCATGGGTCCTTTCTCCAGCCCTGGCCTGAGGTCCCAGAGCTGGGAAGAGGAGGCATGTACAGGCCTGCATGGAGGAGGCTGAGCCTAAGGCTGGTAAAGTGGTGAATGTTCCCTGGCTTTTATCATAAATTTGTATTGACCAATGGCTTTGTCCACAAAATATTAACTGCTGTGGCCAGGACCTTGTGGTCTGGGAGGATAAGCCCATACCTGACAGCCTCTGCTGTAATAACTAAGAACTCACTGATTTAGTTTTGTTTGGCTTTTCACCATGGATATTTCCTGACATTGCTTCAATAAGGGTGTGGGGAATCCTCGATAGACCACACAGCACAGCATATGTTCAGTTTGTGGACAGTCTGTTTTCATGACCTCCCCATCCTTCCTGGCTCTCACTGCCTTGGGTTTTTTATTCCCCTAGGGACAGAAAGGACAGGCCTATAGGTACTCTATCCTCGGACTTCTAAAGAGAAGCCCAGAAATGTGGTTGCTGGGGAAACATTTGCCAGGGAATGTCTGCCATTGCAAGGTCATGGTTTGGCGCCCATGTGTGCAAGAAAGGTTTCTTCCTAACTGAAGGTGTCCAGTGGCCAGCATCCCCTTGGGCATCACAGGGTCCCTCTCAGATTAACTGAAGGGAGGAGTTTTGTCTGCTGCTCTGGTTTATGGTTTTCCCAGTTCTGTTGGTAAAGGAGACATAAAGTATGTGAATTACTGCCAGGCGGCACATTTACCGAAAGCCTGCACCAGACCTCGGTTCTTAGTGCAGCACCAAGAGCACATCTCCATTTTGTGTAGACTACATCTTCAGTAGCCCAAGGCTCATCAAAAGTTCCTCCCAGTAGCTCACATCTACCAAGGGCTGGTCCTGCCTTGTCTCTGGTAAGAATGGCATGGCCTCAGCAGGTGGTTCATCAACGGAAGATGGAGTAGAGCCACAGGGCCTACGGATGACAGAGTCATCTTTTGGTGTCACCAGCCTATACTTTTTACTTCTCTGCTGCAAAGAGTCCTGAGAACATGAGAAAAAATGCTTGGGAGAAGTTACCTTAATGTTCCTACTGTGGTTTATCTTTAAAACACAAGTTGTTCCCATTGCAAATAGCACACTAGTGTTTGGTGAGTTTTGGTGGGAAATCTGGTATTTTGCTTCTGTTCTTACGTTATACTCCAATGGGAACACATCACAGTTGGAACTGAGCGCCCCCTACTTAGACCCACAACAAGCTGAAAACAACACTGGACACATGACAAGTGACACATGGATCATGGGATGACTTTTTCATGATTATTTTTTCTGGAATATTACTGAAAGTATCCTAGAAAAGAGCACAGAAAATACTAAGTGCAATGTGTTTATAGCTTGGGGGTGTTTATTTAAATGTGACATCTGTCACTTAAACAATTAAGTGAATGAATGAAGAGGTTACAGGTTCCCAGCATTTCTAGAGATGTGGCCCCACAGCCTCCTCCTGTGAAAAGATCAGGCCGTACCCAAAAAGCCTTCACACA